CCAAATAGCCAGAGCAATCTTGAAAAAGAAAACCAAAGAAAGAGGCATCATAATCCCAGACTTCAAGATGATTACAAAGCTGTAATTATCAAGACAGTATGGTACTGGCACAAAAACAGACACTCAGATCAATGGAACAGAATAGAGAACCCAGAAATGGACCCACAAACATATGGCCAACTAATCTTTGACAAAGCAGGAAAAAATGTCCAATGGAATAAAGACAGTATCTTCAGCAAGTGGTGCTGGGAAAACTGGACAGAAACATGCAGAAGAATGAACCTGGACCACTTTCTTATACCATACACAAAGATACACTCAAAAAGGATGAAAGACCTAAATGTAAGACAGGGAGCCATTAAAATCCTCAAGGAGAAAGCAGGCAAGAGCCTCTTCGACTTTGGCTGCAGAAACTTCTTACTCAACACATCTCCACAGGCAAGAGAAACAAAAGCGAAAGTGAACTACTGAGACTTCATCAAAATAAAAACTTCTGCACAGTGAAGGAAACAATCAGCAAAACTAAAAGGCAACCGACAGAGTGGGGGAAGATATTTGCAAATGACATATCAGATAAAGGGTTAGAATCCAAAATCTATAAAGAACTTATCAAACTCTACACCCAAAAAACAAATGATCCAGTGAAGAAATGGGCTAAAGTCATGAACAGACACTTGTCTAAAGAAGACATCCAGATGGCCAACAGACACATGAAACAATGCTCAATGTCACTCATCACCAGGGAAATACAAATCAAAACTACAATGAGACACCATCTCACACCTCTCAGAATGGCTAACATTAACAACTCTGACAACAGCAGATGTTGGCGAGGATGAGGAGAAAGAGGATCTCTTTTGTGCTGCTGGTGGGAACGCAAACTGGTGCCACTCTAGAACACAGTATGGAGGTTCTTCAAAAACTTAAAAATAGAACTACCCTCCTACTCAGCAACTGCACTACTAGGTATTTATCCAAGGGATACAGGTGTACTGTTTTGAAGGAGCACATGCACCCCAATGTTTATAGCAGCACTATTAACAATAGCCAAAGTATGGAAAGAGCCTAAATGTCCATCGATGGATGAATGGATAAAGAAGATGTGGTACATATATATACAATGGAATATTACTTGGCAATCAAAAAGAATGAATTCTTGCCATTTGCAACTACATGGATGGAACTCGAGGGTATTATGCTAAGTGAAATTAGTCAGAGAAAGATAAATATCCTCTGACTTCACTCATATGAGGACTTTAAGATACAAAACAGTTGAACATAAGGGAAGGGAAGCAAAAATAATATAAAAACAGGGAGGGAGAACAAAAACATAAGAGACTCTAAAATATGGAGAACAAAACAGAGGCTTACTGGAGGAGTTGTGGGAGGGAGGATGGGCTAAATGCGTAAGAGGCATTAAGCAATCAACACCTGAAATCATTGTTGCACTATATGCAAACTAACTTGGATATAAATAAAACAAACAAACAAACAAACAACCCCCACCACAGACTTCAGATTTGAAGCCATTCATCAGGTAATCTTGTACAAGTTATTCTCTTTGAACCTCAGTCTCTTCATCTATAAAATGGAGATAATAATAGTATTTATTTCTTGGGATGAGGAGAGGACAACATAGTTCTTAGCACTATGCCTATTAAAGCTCTTAAGTACAGTGCTTAGTTGAATACCTATTAATTATTGGTTTATTATTTTGACAAATATTTCACAGTGTCTTTGTGGAAATCACCTAAGTGTGTCTAGTATTAAAAGAAAAATTCAATCCAATTATTTGGGCGCCTAGGTGGCTCAGTCGGTTAAGCATCGACTTCGGCTCAAGTCCTGATCTCACGGTTCATGGGTTCGAGCTCCGCGTTGGGCTCTGTGCTGACAGCTAGCTCAGAGCCTGGAGCCTGTTTCAGATTCTGTGACTCCCTCTCTCTCTGACTCTCCCCTGCTCATGCTGTTTCTTTCTCTCTCAGAAATAAATAAAACATTAAAAAAATAATGCAATTATTAAGAGGATGAAATAATTGCTTGGGGCCCTGCTATTTCTCACAAATCATGCTAGTTTGAAATGATGTCATAAGACTGTCACACTTGAATAACTTTGTTGATTTTCATTCTTAGCATTTTTTTAGAAAGTTTTTTGTTTGTTTAATCTTTACACCAAACATGGGACTCGAACTCAAGACATCAAGATCAAAAGTTGCATGCAATTATTAAGAGGATGAAATAAATGCTTGGGGCCCTGCTATTTCTCACAAATCATGCTAGTTTGAAATGATGTCATAAGACTGTCACACTTGAATAACTTAGTTGATTTTCATTCTTAGCATTTTTTTAAAAAGTTTTTTGTTTGTTTAATCTTTACACCAAACATGGGACTCGAACTCAAGACATCAAGATCAAAAGTTGCATGCTCTTCTGACTGACCCAGCCAGGCGCCCTCATTTTCAGCATTTACTATCATCCTGAAACTTTTATTAAGTACATTAACTAAATTTTTACTTTAGCTGATATATATACACACATATATATTTTTTGCTTGAAGAAAACTTAGAAATAGTCTAAAGTCTTTAAGTGCTTGGGACATGGCTACCCATTCCCCTTCCCATGTAAGTCAGAAACAAAAGGTAAAAACATTTATATGAAAATAAAATATTTTAATCCCAAACAATACCTTATAAATCTTTAGTTTCAACATATTGCATGGGATTAGGTAATTAGGTGGCAAAAAAAAGTTCTTTCCTTCTTTAAAACTAGCAGGGACATAAACCTTTACCTCCTTTCATCATCTTTATGTTGTTTTATGGCATCATTTCTCTCCCATATTTCCTGGTTCAAAACTTGTCATCATTGACTATTGTACCCTCCCCACCCCCCCAGTCTGTCAACTTCACTTCCTTATCCCTGTCCAATTGTTCTTCCTATCTGTTCTCAATATTGCCACCTTTGTCTCCTATACAGTCAATTTCACCATCTCCCGTTCATTTCATATATTTCCAGAGAAAGACACCTCTGAGAAATCTTCAGTGACCCCTTAATGCCTCTGGAGTGAAGTCCCTACACCAAGCAAGGCTTTCCAAGACTCCATCCATTTCCCATTATCCGCTTCAAAATGCCTACAGTCCAGCCAATCTGCATTCCTCTACTTCTGTATCTACAATTCCTACCAACTCATTTCCTCCACTATATTTGACTTGCCTATCTCCTTTTTGTCAGCCTTCCCATTTCACAGATGAAGAAACTGACACCTAGAGAGATGAAGGGTCTATGACAATGTCTGTGGCAGGAAATGAATCCAAGTTTCTCAGACTCAGACTCTTTATTCCTATCGTTTCTTGGCCTCTTGGCTACGATCAAGTGCGGACTCTTTATTCCTAAACACATCAGTGTGTATCTCTTAAGAACAAGGATATTCTCTTATATAGTCACAGTACAATAATCAAACTCAGGAAATTTTGCATTGACGTAGTACCATCATTTATTATACAGGCCACAGCTCAGATTTCACCAACTCCTTTATAGTGAATTTTCCCCAGTCCAGAATCCCATCCTGGGCCAAACCTTGTCTTTATTTCTCATATTTCTTCAATATTCTTTAACCTGGACTAGTTCCTTTGTCTCGCTTTATTTTCAAGACATTGATAGTTTTAAAGAGTACAGGCTAGTTGCTGTAAAATTCCCCTCAGTGTGGGTTTTTCTGAGTGTTACCTCACGCTTAGGTTCAGATAATGGATTCCCAGCAAGAATACTACATAAATGAAGTTGTGTACCTCTTATTGCACATCACAGGGCACACAATGACAGCTGTCTCATTACTGGCAATATTCAACTTTGATCACTTAGATATGGTGGTGTCTGGGTCCCTGTAGAGTTATGTTTCTTCCCCCTTTGTGATCAATAGGAATCTGTGGGCAGTATCCTAAGACTGTGTAAATAAGCTCCTCCCCCATGAAGTTTTCACCCAGGTGGTTTTAACAATTACTGATGTTTAATCTCACAACAATTATCACTATGATTGTTGCAAAATGCTGATTTTTCTAACTCTGTTTCTCCTACATTTATTACAAGGCATTGTACTAGAAGAGCTTTCCCTCTTCCCCTATATTACTTTTTAATGGGAGGGGGAGGAAGCTTTAAAAAAAAAAAAAGGAATTGGATACCATTTTAACTGGAACATAGGTAGCTCCCATTCCCCTTCAGTGTGCCGGGTCCGCTTCTTTGTGACGTGGACCTTCATTCCTGGTCCTGGCTGGCTCTGCCAGCCTTGTGGGCGATGGTCTGGGCCACAGCCTTGCAGACGGTGAATTACCACTACACAATTTCAAAGCCCACTGACGCCCCTGTGGTGCCGTTGGTAGTTCTAGATACTCTAAAATAACACTCCAGTCTCTATTGCTAGGGAGTAAAATGCTACCATTATCCCTAACCTGTGAATCGCCAACACCAAAATATTTATTCCAATGTTTCCCAAACTAAATGTGCTTTAGAATCACCTGAAAGCTTAAAGTGTAGATCGCTGGGGTCCGGCCCCCAGGACTCGGATTTAGTGTATCTGGATTAAGACCCAGACGTCAAAACTCAAACTCTGAGATCAGCATCTCCAAAACAATGAAGGGCAAACCTCCCTTCCTCGAGAAGTCGCCGCCACTGGCAACTTCCAAGGGGCCCCGCTCAGAAAAAGCCGAGTGAACCAAAAGAAGGCGTTCATGCTTCCTCCCCGCACCGGCCTTCAGAAACCTATATCCGGTTGATAGCCCTAGGGTGCCGGGGTTCCAGTTGCTTCGGTGAAGGCGATCCCCCTTATCCACTCTCTGTGGGCAGGGCCTGCTGCGCTGCGGGAGGGGGCGGGTCCCCCTCCGTGCCCGCGGGGCGGTGGCCAGGGAGCCCCACCCCTCCCCTCAACCCCCTCCCCCAGCGCCCGGGCCGGGTGCTTAGTCACCGTGAGGCTGCGCTTGCCCGGGGCGCGGCCCCCCCCCGCCCCTTACCCGGGACCGCCCGCGGGTCGCCCCGGTCGCGCACTTCCGCGTGCATGGCCCTGCTGCCCCTGGCCCTCAGCGCGAGCGCGGGGCGGAGCTGGCAGCGGGCGGCGCGCGCCTGTCCCCGCTTCCCGCTGCCTCAGCCTCGGCCCGCCCGCTCCCTCTCCCGCGCCATGGCGTGCAGACAGGAGCCGCAGCCGCAGCGCCCGCCGCCCGCCGCTGGCGTGGCCTCGTACGACTACCTGGTGATCGGGGGCGGCTCGGGCGGGCTGGCCAGCGCGCGCAGGGCGGCCGAGCTGGGCGCCAGGGCCGCCGTGGTGGAGAGCCACAAGCTGGGCGGCACTTGCGTGAGTACGGGGCCCCTGCCCGCGCGTCTGCGGCGCCGCGTCCCGCAGCCTGGCTTTCTCTTCGCTGTGCGGGGACAGCCTGTCTTTTCTGGTGCTGTCCGTCCGTCCGTCCGTCCGTCCGGAGATGGGTCCCCAGCGCCGCGCGCTCCGCTTTCCCACCCGCGTCTGAGGTCAGGGTCCCAGCAGGTTTAAAGGAGAAAAGTGTAAAGGGCTTCCTCGCGCCTCCCCCAGCTAAACCTTAGTCTGTTCCTGCCCGGGCGCTGTGTTAACCCGAGGTGGTTACTCCTCAAGGTGCGAGAGTACTGGATTCCATGTTGATCTCATCACCAGATCCTTGAAGCAGAATTGCCTGTGGGAAAATTGCAGCTGGCTGGGGAGTGGGATTGGGGTTGGGGATGTGCCCTTGAGGAATGCAGATCCTGATCCTCTCCTTTCAGTCTCAGGGGCAAAAATGATTTACCGCACAGCCGAATCACCTGAGGAGTTGGAAAAATTCTGCTGTCTGCGTTCTGTGCCCATGGCTTCCGATTTCTCTGGTCTGGAGTGCAGCCTGGGTTTGGGGATTTTTAGGAGCTCCACAGGTGATTCTGGTTGCAGCCAAACCTGACAACCACTGCCTGCAGGTTACCTTAATGTAGGATTTACAGAAATTCTCAGACCTTTATATTTTGTCTTGTTGAGGGATTTTAAAACTGCTCCCAAATAAAGAGGGTTGTAGATCTTATGATTGAGAAGCTTTATCATTAAAAAGAAGCTTTTATTCCCATGCTATTGGTGTGGCTTTTTCTATGACAAGACATGGGAGAGGTACTTGCTGTTAATATTGAAATTCTGCATCCAAGAGTAACCTGGGATTGGGGATGCGCTCTCCAAATTCTTTTGGAGACTGATGTTTAAATTGTACCAAATTGGGAACTTCTTAAGGGCATCGATGGGCTCACGTGTTTGTGTACCTCATATAACCCCAACGAAATATCTTGCTTAGTAACCATATGTGTAATAAATGAAACTCAAAATTGACAGTTTGTGAAAGGACTGACTCCACTGCCCTGTAAGCAGTTTTCAAGTTCAAGGGGCACCTGGGTGGCTCAGTAGGTGAAGCATGGGACTCTAGATTTTGGCTCAGGTGATGATGTCACAGTTGTGAGATGGAGCCCATCATCCAGCTCTGCCCTGAGCATGGAGACTGCTTGAGATTCTCTTTCTCTCTCTTTCTCTCTCCTTCCGTCTTCCCCTCTCCCTCTTGCCCTTCCTCACTTGTGTGTATGTCCGTGGGCTCCCTCTCTCATTCTCTCCCAAACTAAATAAAAAGATAAACATTCAAGTTCAAAATGAAAGTGGGAATAGAGGAAAGGATTGTCAACTTGGACCTTGACATCTTAGTCCAGACTCCCTTAGAAGTTTGTCTATGCAGAAAACAGATTGAGGGGTGCCACTATGAGGCCCTCGGGACAGCTGCTGCAAGCACTTGACGACTTCTCATCTTTGTACCTCTTTACTTTTCTCAGTTTTCTTCCTCCTGCATTATGTCATCATCTGCTTGGGGCATCCATCATCATTGCCTGGTTCCACTGGTATTAGTCAAAAAGGGACTGGCCTCATTTTTACGTTCTGGTTAGGAATATGAATACATTAAGAGACGAACTACTTCCGAGAGGCAAAGGACAGCTTTGGACAGTTGGCCACTTACTGCTTTCTTTTAGCGTGCCCAGACTTGCTCATATCATTCAGACGCAGCAAATTTTATTTTCCTGTAAGCATTGGTATCTTGGGTGAAATCCCCCATTTCACATTTTCATGACATTCCATTTGGGTTTTTCCCGAACTGGCTTTTGGTTTTGAATTACAAGGAAGGGTAGGTCTGTGTTGAATATCAGAGAAGATACAACGATAAGACATGAGTTTAGATTTAAGAATTCCAGTTATTTAGCTCTCCATAGTTGCAGTAGTAAACTTCTGGTGTCCAGTGATGTCCAAGTAGGTGTAGGGGAAATGAAGGCACTCCGAAGCACATCATTTCATTTGTTCATGCCTTCATTTCCTGTATTCTAAGTGCTAAGTACTTGGATTGAGACTGACGAGAGAAAAGGGTAGATGCAAACATTTTGTTTGCTTTAATGTTTATTTATTTTTTAAAGAGACAGAGTGTGAGCAGGGGAGGGGCAGAGAGAGAGGAGACACAGAATCCAAAGCAGGTTCCAGGCTCTGAGCTGTCAGCACAGAGCCCAACGGGGGCTTGAACTCAAGAGCTATGAGATCATGATGTTTAATCAACTGAGCCATCCAGGCACCCCTAGATACAAACATTTATATTATAAAGGTCCATTCCCACAGGAAATTTGCAAAGTGGTGGGGGAGCAAAGTGGTGGGGGAGCAAAATGTAGACCGTCTACTCCAAAGTGACGAGGCCAGTGTTAATTATTCCTGATAGTAAAAAATTACAGTAGTTGAGAGAAGAATTGGAATCGTTGCTTTTGCCTGGGCACCATGGGATGTATGGTTTTGTGAAGAAGAGAGTGTCTTTCTGAACTTGAACAGATAAATACCATTTTTTGACAGGGTAGAGTCAGAGGCAAAGGCAGAAAGGCAGGGCATATTGTGTAATTGAATTTGATTACCACACAGGGTATCTTAGAAGTAAGATATGGGAAGCTGATGAGTACATTGTAGTAAAAAATGAAGTTTCTGGGGTGGCATGGCTGGCTCAGTTGGTAGAGCACATGACTTTTTTTTTTTTTTTTTAATGTTTATTTTGAGAGAGAGAGAGATAGAGATCTGAATCCAGCTCTGCACTGTCAGCACAGAGCCCAATTTGGGGCTTGTACTCACAAACTGTGAGATCATGACCCCAGCCAAAGTTGGGCACTTAACTGACTGTGCCACTTGGGTGTCCCTAGAGCATGTGACTTTTGATCTTGGGGTGGTGAGTTCAATCCCCCCATTGGGTATAGAGTTTCTAAAAAAATGAAGTTTCTGGAAGCACAGTGAACTGTGTGGAAGGGTTTTTGAGCATGAGAGTGACTTAATAAAAGTGGTTTTATGGTAGTAGTACTGCTGAGAGATGTCCTTGGGGACGTCAAATATAAGTGTCTTTAATACTGACTCTTTAACCATTTTTTTCCTAAATATTTTGATTCGGAGCTTGGTGAATTTTCTTTTAAATTTTTTTAATGTTTTATTTATTTCTGAGAGAGAGACAGCGTAAGCAGGGGAGGGTCAGAGAGAGAGGGAGACACAGGATCTGAAGAGAGTCTCCAGGCTCTGAGCTGGCTGTCAGCACGGAGCTCGACTTGGTGCTTGAACCCACGAACCATGAGATCATGACCTGAGCCAAAGTCGGACGCTTAACGGACTGAGCCACCCAGGCACCCCATGGTGAATTTTCTAAGTTGCTGTAGATACTTTCACATGGAAATTTCAAATTAAAATCTTCCTGTAGATAGTGGGGTTGTGTTATGTTTTTAATTGTTTTATTTTGGTTCATTTATTTAAATTTCAGGTATACAGGTACGTTTTTAAATGCTGGGGTCATAGCAGCAAACAAAGCAGTTAAAAATCCCTGTCCTCATGGAGCTTACATTGTACTTGCATGCAATATTTTTGTAATATTTTTTTAAAAAACAAGTTTTTGTTTTTTTAGGGCTTTTTTGGGTTTTTGGTTTTTTTTTTTTTTTTTTTTTTTTTTTTTTTTTTTTTTTGTTTTTTTTTTTTTTTTTTGTCTTTCTTAAACCTTCCTGCATTAAAGTTTAGACTCATGGTGTGATAAAGCTAGAAGTGATTTTGGAGATCCACTAATCCAGCCAGACTATAGTTTTATTTTGTTTTACTTTTTTAATGTTTATTTTTGAGAGAGAGCACTAGTGGGGGAGGGGGGGACAGAGGGAGAGGAGAGGGAGGATCCAAAGCAGGCTCTGCACTGTCAGTGGAGAGCCCGATGTCAAGGCTCAAACTCACAAACTGTGAGGTCATGACCTGAGCCAAAGTCGGACACTTAACCAACTGAGCCACCCAGGCGCCCCAGACTATAGTTGTTTTAAAAAAAATGGAAGCTCTAACATAAGCTTGCTGACTTTAATTTTTTTAGGGTAATGGCCATTAAAAAAATTCTATCACTATCTTTTTTTTAATCAAGAATGATCTTTTCATAACAAGTGGGAAGCTTATAATTTCAAGTAAAGGACAGTCCTTTAAATTGAATATTTTTAGCTTTATGAAACCCTGCATGGGCCCTTTTATTTTCATTTCTTTAAGGATTAGAGGTGCCTGGTGGGTCAGTTGCGTAAGCGTCCAACTTCGACTCAGGTCATGATATCCTGGTTTGTGAGTTCAAGCTCCATGTCTGGTTCCACACTGAGTGGGGCGCCTGCTTGGCAGTCTCTCTCTCTCCCTCTCTGCCCCTCCCCCATTTGCACTCTATCTCTCTCTCTCAAAATAATAAATAAGCTAAAAAAGGAAAAAAAAGAATTAGACTTACACAGATCCTTGTAGGAATTTGGGAAGCATTATTCTGGTTCAGCAACCTCACTTTACTGAGTAGCACAGTGTCTGCTAAAATGTGGTTGAAAACAAACCAAGCAGAGCATAACCGCTGGAATTGGCTGGCCAGCCATCAAACTATAGCTTTGGTGTATTAATGTGGAGTAAACTGTTACTTGTTGAACTTGTTTAAGCATTGTTCTTTACTACAAGGGAGGAAACTTCTTACCCTTCCTTCTTAGGAACCAAAGGTCATTTACTCCAAAAACACTTAGTTAAATAGGGTCTACCACATAGCTTCACTCCATAGCTCCTGATTCAGTAGATGTAGGGTGAAACCCCAGCAGATGTATTTTTAAAGAGCTCCATTTTTTTTTTTTTTTTTGAGAGAAAGAGAATGCACACAAGCAGGGAAGAGGAAGAGAGAGAATCTCAAGCAGGCTCTGTGTTCAGCGTGGAACCCAATGCGAGGCTGGATCCCATGACCCTGGGATCATGATCTGAGCTGAAATCAAGTATCAGAC